TTGACCAATCACAATTGAATGTAAGAAGAATATTCGATTGTAATTGGTCAATTCTTACGGCTTACGGCTTATGACCCGACATACGACATATTGTAAAACAGGCCTAAGCATTTCCGTGTCCAGTGTGCAGGAGCCCTGACATCGGTCGTGCTTCTCTGATAATTTAGGATTCTAGTCTGCTGAACGCTTTGAGTATATAGACATGGAGGTGGAATGTTGGCTCGAAAACTGTGTCCAAGATGTGTGCGAGAGAGAAAGGTAGACGAGTAATATTCGTCCTCTCTGCGCATGCGTCGATCATTCGACAGACAGAGAGGACGAAGTATCACGTGGTATCGCTTTCTCTCTCGCACTCCTTACCACTCTTGGACTCACTTGCGGCGGGCGGCCTACAAAGAACAAAGGCATTCCATGTACTATATACTCAAAGGCTGAACATGGTCACTGGCCAACGAATGGGAGAATTTGAGGTTATTTGTCGTTTTCTTTCGCACGTGCTCGTATGCTGCTCGCTGTATCTGTTGCCGCGTGGTGATTAATATTAATTATTTTCTTTTTAAACAGTGTAAACTGTGTCGTTGTGTGTTGCAATGAGTACGATGAAACAAGAGACGCATCGACCAGGTGCACTCAAACAATCTAATAAACAACACAAGACTGGAAGACATCGCAGTAAAAGTGCTATCAATAATGATCTTAAAGGTAAATTTTTTGTACGTGTAATAACCAATTTTTCGTAGTAATAAATTTTGTAACAGAAATGTAAAAATGATACTTACTGATTCATTCAATAGTAATAAGCTTTCTTTAAGAATACAATGGCAAATTTTATATACCTACAATGTTTTAAACGGAACATTTTGTGAGAATATTAATTACTTTTTACATAGGTAAACAAAATATTACTGGAAAATCATCGAAATGTTTGGAGAAAAATCTTCGGAAGGATGCTCGTAGAAATCAATTGTTGCAATATAGAAAAAAGAAACGCGAACAGGTATTGGCGCAGAAGAGAAATCTTGGTGGCTTTTCTTCAGCACCTATTCTTATCTGCGTTATACCATTGCAAAGTAATACTGACATAAAGAACATTGTGTCTGTAGTATCTAGTATGGATGATAAAGCTGCTAATGTTGCTACTAGTCCAAGTGGAATTACACATATTAGGTACACTGAAGAAACTTACTTTCTTTATTATTAGAAAATAAATTGAAAGTTTGGTATTTGTTAATCTTTTAAATATACATTTGTATTTATTTAGTGTACCAAGGCTGAAACAACGATTTGCCATCATTGTGCCACCTGTAGGTGACATTTTAGCGACATTAGATGCTGCCAAAGTTGCTACCACAATACTCTTTGTCACTTCTGTTACAAGTCAAACAAATGATAATATGCCAGAAATTATTGATGATTGGGGCAAGGAAATTATTGTGTCTTGTCTTGCTCAAGGTTTACCTGCTACTATTGTTGCAGTGCATAATATTCAAAAACTTCATATCAAAGTAAGCAACGATATGTTTAAAAATCTATTAAGAAGAAAAAGTGTAAAAATTAATTTTATATTTATTGTAAAAACTCTGTAAATTTTACATTACACATGTCAAAAATTTTACTTATTGATTCATTGTTTTTAAATATGATATAATAGAAACGTCAGGAATATAAACAATCTGTGCAACGTGCCATTTCAAAATTGCTTCCTGAAGAAAAAGTGTTTGAATTAGATACTACAGCTGATTGTTTAAATATGTTACGTCGTGCTGGATCGCAAAAGCAAAAAAGTTTATTTTACAAAGATATAAGGCCACACCTTTTGGCTGAGGAAGTTTCCTTTGAATCTGATAGAGTATGTAAAATTTAAAATTCTATCGTATATTTAAAATGGTGTGTTTGTGAATGTGTGTAAAAAGCAGTTTAAGTGTCGTTTAATATTACGTAATTTTTATCTCTTACTAGGATTCTCTTGATTGTGGAACTGTCACGATCAGTGGATATTTACGAGGCACAACGCCATTATCCGTTAATAGCTTGATTCATATATCAGGTTTTGGAAGTTTTCAAATGTCTTGCATCAAAACATCAAGAGATCCATATTTAATTGAGCACATGGAACAGAAAAGACATCTTTCTAATGATAAAATGAAAATGGAATGGAAAAATGAAACCGAGATCCTAATTGCAGATCCAGAAAAACAGGTTTTTTGCATATATTTTAATATTAAATGACTTGTATCTCTCGAATTAGATATGGCTATAGAAAGAAGTATTCTCATACGAGTGCATTGTTATTGCTTTACTTTCTTTAGTAATATTGAGCGCGCGAGTATTTGAACAGTATTCACGTGAGCAACGAGAGAGAGAGAGAGAGACAGAAAGCGAAAAATTATCGGAAAACACACATTTATAAAGAACATGTTAAAATTATTGCTAACTTATTTATATGTGATTTTTTATAGCGATACTAATAATGTCAATACATGCAAATTATTACATGTAAAGTAAAATTTGTAGGAGTCTCTTGAAAGCGAATATATTCCTGATCCGATGGACGCTGAACAAACGTGGCATACGAAAGAGGAATTGGCTGAAGCAGCAAACAAAAGAAATAGAAAAATTGTAAAAGTTGTACCAAAAGGAACTTCTGAATATCAAGCTGCATGGATACCGGATGAAGATGAAGGTTTCACATATTTTTCTCTTTTTCTTTCCTTTTATAAAAGTTTTTAATCGCATTTAATTCTTTTACTCAAAAAAACATATTCTTCCTTTGTTTATAGAAAGCCTAGATATACCTTCAGAAAATGAATCGGATGATAACATGTCTGTGGAAGAGGCAAGATCTGAAGCGGTTAGTAGTGAAGATTTAGAAGATGACGAACAGTATGAAACTATTACGATATCGGAAGCACCTCTCGATGAGGAGCGTTATGATCAAGATATCGATATGTTTGAAGAAAAGCAAGCTATGGAAAGCTTTAAAGGTTACTGTAATTAAATTAATGTATATTCATAATGTATATTCATAATGTTCCATCTTTGTTGTTGATTATCGTGTTAGTAATTTTTTTTAACAAACTATAGAAGCAAAATTGGACGCGCAATTTCCCGATGAAGTGGATACACCTCTAAATATTTTGGCTAAAACGAGATTTCAAAAATATCGAGGTCTCGAATCGTTCCGCACTAGTCCTTGGGATCCAAAGGAAAACCTTCCTATTGATTATTCTCGGATAATTGAATTCGCCGATTACGATCGCAGACGAAAACGTATTTATAGAGAATGTAAAGATATCGAAGATGTCGTGGTACATGTGCGTTGAAAATTTTCTTTTTTAATTGTACATTATTAATTTTTCGTCAAATATTTATAACTCGCGGGCGTTGTGTGGTGTATGTTTTCAGTCAGGATGTTACATCCAAGTTTGTGTCGCCCGTATTAGCAGAGAAACTTTTAAGGCATTCGCTATAGAAAATAAACCATTAATAGTGGTTGCTTTACTTCCATACGAACATAAAATGTCTCTTTTGAACATCGTGTTGAAACATTCGAACAATTACACGCATCCAATCAAGTCGAAGGAAAAATTGATATTTCAGTGTGGATTTAAACGATTCACGGCATGTCCAATATTCAGTCAACATACAAATGGCACTAAACATAAAGTGAGTTGATGTGCTTATATTTTACATTTGAAGCATGTTTTATACTGTACAAATATACGTTACAAATCGTCGTCAAATTTATGTTTCATTGTGATAAATTACATGCTTGTTTAGTACGAGAGATACTTTCATCCTGACAGTACTGTCGTGGCGAGTATGTACGCACCTGTTACTTTTTCACCATGTCCAGTTCTTTGTTACATTGAGAGTAAAAGTGGCAAACTCGTATGTATTTTTTTAATAGTATTGTTAGTATTAGATTACTACAGTTTTGCCAGTTTACGAGACTGGTATTATGCGCTCCTGTCAAATTCAAATCGGACAATATCTTTTCAGGAATTAATTGCAACTGGTAGCGTGTTATCTTGTAATCCCAACAGAATTGTTCTGAAACGAGTTGTTTTAAGTGGTCACCCATATAAAGTAAATAAGAGATCGGTAGTTGTGCGTTTCATGTTCTTTCACCGTGAGGATATTGAATGGTTCAAGCCAATCCAATTGAGGACAAAATATGGACGTAGAGGCCATATAAAGGAACCCCTTGGTAAATAGTCGATTATGAATGATTGATTCGCCACCGTGCGATTGCATCTTGTCTATGTCTTTGTTGTATTTATATCCACATTTACTAATTTTATTAATTAACTTGGATTTCTTGTAGGTACACACGGGCACATGAAGTGCATCTTCAATGGACAACTGAAGTCTCAAGATACAGTGTTGATGAATTTGTACAAACGTGTTTTTCCGAAATGGACTTATGAACCTATGAATCAGTACAAATAAAAATTATTTAATCTTGTCTTTAATCAGTTTTTGAATTAGCTTCCTTGTATACTTGAACGCCAAATGTGTTACACATGTATAATAGCTACTGCATACTGAGTTTTAAATTTTATGTTGTCTGCAGCTAGGTGCAAGGGCGCAATCAAGATACATATATTGAAGAAGAAAAGTGCTACAATCGAGTTTCAATGCAAAGATTGATCAGAATTTGGCAAAAAAGAAAATTCAATTTCAAAAATTTAATGGATAAACATGCAATTAATTTTGGCGAATCTTTGCATGGATATTTGCAATTATATTTGAATTTATAATTTTTGTGATTTATGATTTCTCAGTACATCTACCCATTAAGTTTTATTTTATTAGTTGCTCTTTTTTTGCAAAGTTTTGCGAGTTGTGTCGTAGCGATCAACGCGCTATATATTTCCACCAGAGAGGATCCGAGAGCGGACATGCCGGCCTGTTGGCTGTAACGCTAACATGCCCTCGTTCACTAACGCCCTCTGAAGAAGTAGATCCAAATTACATAGTAAAATCAAGATTTCTGCACAATTTGTGTCCATACTAAATCCACTTTTCGAGTCTGCTGGAGCTTTATTCTCGAAAAATTACGCATTAAAAATTAGTATATTTTCTTACTTATTACTTCTTATGGCTTATTACGCCTATTGTGTTTCGGAACTTAGGGCGAATTCACACCTTGACAGAAAAGCAGAAGCCAATCAGAACTCGCACTGGTAGCAAGAAAAGCAGAAAGCAAAAACTATTAACTACCAACGCGAGTTTTGATTGGCTTCTGCTTTTCTGTCAAGGTGTGAATTCGCCATAATTTTTAGGCGGATCAACGTATATAAAGGCTATCATACATGCAAAACTTTTAGTCGTAATTATAAGACCGTAAGCATATTGACCAATCACCATCAATATTGAGGTCTTACGTTTTAGAATGTTCAACTGTGATTGGTCAATATGCTTACAACTTTATGGTTACGATTAAAATTTTTGTACGTGTGATGGCCTTAAGATAGATGTATAAAGAACTCTGGATGATGGTGGCTGTGTTTGTGTGTGTTTATGTGTATATGGTGGGGGCACGTATGTATGTACATACATATATATATACACACATACAAACATTTATGCATAGTACATACATATACCCATAAGTAACCTGGGTCATTAATCATGAGTACTATAACCGCGTATCTTCGCGCATTGGCGCATCCCATAATATCCCTCCTTCCCACCACCAGTGTTCACAACAATGATCGTGCCGGTTGTATTTTAGGTTAAATCACTCGTGTGATCTCTATCCTAGTAAATAAACTTTCCAGCGGGGTAAAAATGGACAATAAAATAACGATATGCGACCCTGACGAGGACGAAGTAGAAAATGACATATTGCGTGATATCGAACCGGTCATGTGGATCAATGACGATCCAAATTATGATTTGGACGAGGTTAACATGTTTTTTCACAGAGTCGACTCGGATCAAATTATATATGAGGAAAAAAGGAAAAAATGTAAATTTATCGGTAAATATGTCATGGGTGATGTTCTCGGTGAAGGCAGTTATGGGAAGGTGAAAGAAGTATTAGATTCGCAAACACTTTGCCGAAGAGCGGTCAAAATACTGAAGAAAAGGAAACTTCGAAGGATACCGAATGGGGAACAGAACGTTCAACGGTGCGTTTTGATGAACTTTTTTTTTTTTTTATGAATGTTACGTCGGTACGCATTTGTATATATCGTGGGTGAATTTTTATTGTTACGCACACAAATATCAACATGATAACTTTCTTGTGGCGATATATCTTTCTTTGCATCTCATCTTTATTTCTATTTTAATAAATGGTGTTGATGTTTTACAGGGAAATAAAATTGTTAAGAATATTGAAGCATAAAAACGTAATAAATCTCGTAGACGTTTTATACAGTGATGAAAAAGAAAAGATGTATCTAGTTATGGAATTCTGTGTGTGTGGATTACAGGTAAGTTTTCATACAAATACTTCTTTTTATTATCCTAAATCATTAGATACTTGTCGCACGTATGAGTATATGTTGTGTACGAGATGTAGTTGAAATTTCAAGATATAATATTGATAATATTGATTTAGCCTTTCTATATGAAAATGATTTTTTCTGTTCTAATTATCAGACTAAGTATCAGAAGAAACATGGATTTATTCCATTGCAAGTTTGCATATTTTGTCTACTTTATGCTTTTACATTGTCTGTGAACTTGGCATTTTACATATTGATTATTTTTGATGACGACATGTAGCTTAGTTTGTTGAATTAATCACATTTGATTAAGATTATTTTACACTTGTATTTGACTTGTATAGTTATATTATATATAGAAATTGAGCGAAAGTATACCTTGTGTTGTGTATTACATAATACAAAAGAAAGCTATTTAATTTCATATTGAACTGTATTCATTTTACATTTTGTCAAAGTTTGTGAAAATGTATCAAATGGTATAACATTGAATGTTAATACTGACAGTTTTAATTAATTATAAGATATTTTACGTTTTTATCTCAAACAAATGATCTGAAACTGATTAACTTGTAAGTGAAGAATTTAATGTAATATCCAAGTTGATCATTCTTGTTACATTTGAGTGATAATAGTTGGACTGCTTTATAAAAAATGCAATAAAATTTTAATGAAAAGGAAAATGTTTTTTAAATCTTTTGGTTTTGACATGGCTTGCATGAATTAACAACAATTAGATTTCTATTTATTAGATTCTTTACAGGACATGTTGGAAAGCACGCCAACCAAGAAGCTTCCGCTTTGTCAGGCACATGATTATTTCTGTCAATTGTTGGACGGTTTAGAATATCTTTACAGTAAGGGAATAGTTCACAAAGATATAAAACCGGGAAATTTGTTATTAACCCTAGATGGTACCTTGAAGATTAGTGACTTTGGTGTTGCGGAGGTACGAGCTTTATCTTTCAACTTTTTATCTTAGTCAACAAATTTATATGTATCTTTAATTAATTTAACTGTATAGAGGCTGATATTTATAATAACGAGAAAAGTATTGACAGACAGTGTATTCTGAAAATGTCATGAAACACACACACACACACACACACACACACACACACACACACACACACACACACATTTTGCAAGTACGCGTGTTTCATTCCTATGTGTGATTACGCATCTCCTACTGTACTAGGCATTAGACATGTTTTCCAAAGACGATACCTGTACGATAGGTCAAGGATCTCCAGCGTTTCAGCCACCAGAAATCGCAAATGGCTGCGAAAGTTTCTCAGGCTTTAAAGTAGACATATGGAGTAGCGGAGTTACATTGTAAGTACAGCTTGTACTTACAACGTTATCCAGAAATCGAATAGTGTATTTATATTTTACAGGTACAATATAACCACGGGTTTATATCCTTTCGAGGGAGATAACATATATAAATTATACGAAAATATTGGAAGGGGTGAATATACTGTACCGAAAGAAGTAGAGGAACCTTTAAAGTCGCTCATAGAGGGAATGTTGCAGAAAGATGCGGATAAAAGATTTACATTACAACAGGTCAAGAGACACGCGTGGACCATGTGCGAGCACCCTAAAACGCAACAACAAGTACCTATACCTCCCCTTAAAAGCAATGGGTGCCACAGCATGACTGTCTTGCCATACTTGATGGAGTATCATAATGGAGTTGATGACAATCCCATATACTATACGGAACATCAGCTAAATGGTAGACATCTGTTACATTTATGTCGATATATTGATTGATATTTTTCCTTCTTTTCCTCTTTTCAAAAGTAAATTCGATTAAAAGATAGACATTCTTCTGACAACGATGGTGGTCGGGACCACTATCATGCTTTTCATATAACCCGCAGAGAATGAAAATTTTTTAGAAAAAATTTCTTTTTTCTTTAGAAGAGCGAAGACTACAAGAACTGGATCGCATTAGCGAGGATCGAAAAACCACGTGTAACAGCCATCACACCAAATGCAACACAAACAGTCAAAATAAACGGAGATGGCGTAAGCCGGTTTCGTGCATTAGTATTAAAAGATTTCCATCCTGCAAGCCATCGTGATTTCGCTGATTTCATCGTTTTTTTTTTTTCTGTTCGCATCTCACTGACTGTGTCAGTTATTAAGTTTCTCTGGTAATATGGAGACGACTGAGAAAAAGTCCTTGAAGAATACAAAGCATGCGAGACGTATATGTAATCTAGCAACATGAATGGAATACAAAGAGCTTTTAAGAGAGTCAGAGTTGAAAAATGTCGGATGTAAAGATTGTGATATTAAGATTAAATCATGTAGCGAATAATCCTTATTGATCGTTCAATGCCTAGGAGACGCCCAATCAAAGTCACATTTCATTTTGGTGCCATATTGACAACGCGATTAATAAAGTTGTTAATCGTCTCAGTGCTTAACATTTTATTTATCATTGGATCTCTCCAAATGTACCTTCGTTCTTGGTAAAGCCGTGGCAAGTCCAACGTTTACGATGATGTCTAATTGACACACATAAGAATACTATATAGTATAGTCGAGTATACAAATACAATTAACGATTGTAACGACTGTATGATGTTTCAATTTTATGTGCTCCCGCGTTTACAAAATTGATGACGAGACTTCTATAATTTAATAGTGTTACACAATGCGAGTAAAGTTACAATTAATGCAGGTGGGATTAATTGATTATCATGCTATACGATACACGCGCGCGAACGATTCTTATAATCATTCGTCGAAAATGCTTCTACATGTGACGTTGCTATATTTGACAAATATTAATATTTTTTCTAGAATTAAAAATTTCGCATTTTTTAGCGAAACATCGAGAATAGCTAGGTAATCTCTCGATATATATTCATCTATATTTATCAGTCAAATTATTGAGACTATAATATATTTTTAAGTCTCCAGAATTCGCAAAAACAAATGAAAGGATAGCAAATTTTTCATTACTTTGGTATGTACAAGGACATTATTAATTGTTACCTACGATAAATTAACTTGGGAATTGACTTGTCTATATCTATATATATATATGTATATATGTATATACATATATTGTATAATGCGAATGCTTTTCAGTGCCGACGTGGCAGCACGTGATGGCCGGTGATGGCAGCTGGCACGTTAACAACCGCTGGTACGATCGTTACGACTCGATCACTGCGCTCATAATTTTCTGTACAAATCATGATGTAAGAAGACATCACGGTACAAACGAAACCTTAGTTGTGCTCTTACCGCGCGCAGTGTTGCACTCTTTTTTTTTTTCCAACAGAACATAACCTGCCAAAGCTTGGCAAAGCTTTTCGCCGATTTTCGTATCAACAATACAACAAGGATGGTTTTCTTGTCGTTAAATCTCTTAACCAGAGCCCGCGGGCCGGACGAATTTTGGCGAAAACGAAAAATATTCAAGCTTGCCGCGGTAATTAAGTAATTCACATCACGATAGATATTTGCTCTAAATGCTCTTGATCAATTTGAAATATATATCGATAAAAAAAATGTACAAATGGAAATCATTTAATATGTTTTTAGCATTATATGGGAAGAAGGAGAAATTGTTACAGTATAGCTATCAAAAACGTACATCGAGCTCTGATGTACTGCACTCGAGGTAGAAAACTGAAGAAGGAAGATATGAAAGAGGTACAGTAAAATTCATCAAGATATGTATAAGAATAAAAGATGCATGTAAATTCTCAAAGATTTTGCGTTATTAATTTATTTATTTTTTGCCACTTTCAGTTGCGGGAACAAAGGATAGAAGCTGCTACAAATGAACACAGTTTAAATTTCGCGACCCTTAAAGAAGGATTAACACGATGTAACATTCTATTGAATCGAAAATCACTGACCGACTTGGCAATTTGGGAACCTCGCTCTTTCAAAGCCATTACGGATATCGCATGCGCAAGAGCAAAGCAAGACAATTTGAAGGCTACGATGAATATTGAAGTACCAAAGAGCATTATTGTAAGGGGTTTAATTAAATAATTGTTCACAAGAATAAGTATAAAATGACAAGAGTTCTTTTTTCTTCTTGATACATGATTTATTTGTTATTTTTGGATATTTTCGTTTGAATTTGCATTAATCGTATATATTAATGATTCGACCAAAGGACAAAAGCTGCACTAAACGCTCCATTAATCTTGTATAATACATCCATTGCTGCACCAAAAATACATAAAATCGCACCTAGGAATTACCTAAGAATCACATGTACAACAATCTTTAATGGCTACGTTGCAAGAACTGTGAACAACTTGGCATGAAGATATGTATATAATAAATGAATATACTCATATATAGAACTCTCCTTTTTGCAGTTACATTACATTTTATCAGAACAGTCTACTCATGTATACTCAAACAGATACCGCGCGTTAACCTGTTGCGTGTAATCTGGATATAGGATCAAGTTTCATCTAATGTGGGCTTATCAACACAATTAGGTACAACACATTCAACAACGAGCATTGACGATTTGTACAAAGTCTGGCTTCAATGATGCGCCGCCAACTAAAAATCCATCGATATCTTTTTCCTTTGCCAAGTCTTTGGCGTTGGCTGCTGTTACGGAACCACCGTAGATAATTCGCAAAGTTTGCGCGACATCGGGTTTGATATTCTTGGACAGCCACTCTCGTAATTTTTCATGAACCTCTTGCGCTTGTTGCGGCGTTGCGGTTTTACCTGTACCGATCGCCCATACTGGTTCATAAGCCAGAACCACGTTGTCCCAAGATTTAATTTTATCCGCTATTGCCTTGGTTTGCCTATAAACTACTTCTTCGGTCTTTCCTGCTTCGCGTTCCTCCAATTTCTCACCGATACATGCAATCACCTAGAAAAGCCAAAAAATATTCTTTTTTCTCTTCTTTTTTGTTATAATTACATTTATATTACATTTTACATGTTATTTTTTTTTAGCATGTAATATTTTGCTGAAATTGCATATTCACCCAAATAAGGGTACTATTACATTGATCTGTTTTCTGTTGTACGACAAATTTTTCAAGCCTGTTGATGGGCTGCAAGAAAGAGAAGAGTTGTCGGATTTCTCTCTCTCTCTCTCTCTCTCTCTATTCTATAGCCAATCAATAGGCTTGAAATGCTTTGTCGTACGACAAAAACGAACAAATGTAATATTAGCCTAATACAATTGATTTTTATATGTACATAATATTTACTTTCAATCCAGCTTCTAAAGCATGTGCAATTTTTTCCGCAATTAACTCGTCCGTTTCGCCAAAAATGTTTCGACGCTCGGAATGGCCAAGGATTACCCAGGGAATACCATTGTCCAAAAGCATAGCCGGACTAATTTCACCGGTAAACGCTCCTTTAGCAACTTTGTACGTGTTCTGTGCACTGACGTTAACGTTGCTAGGGACGATGGAGGTGACATACGTGAGATATATCGATGGAACGCCAACTACAACCTCTACAAATAACAAAATGCCAATCTTTTGATTAGATAAGAAATAAACAGACGATTTGTGATAAGAGATCAAAGGTTGAATGAGAAATGATGAAACGAAACGGTACATTAAGTATGTTACGTAAGCGTCGAACATTGCTCTATTAAAGTCTTGGACATGAATCTGAAGAACGTAATTCGACAGCAATTTTGCAATTTTTAAATACTCATTATATTTTTTGAATATTTTTCTTCTATTTACTTGCTTGAATTTTGCCGCAATAAATTTGCTGCGATTGCAATTTAAATGAAATCTTTGTTGAAGTAAGAAACAAGTGTTTTTTTTTTATTTACACAGGACAGACTATATTCCGTTATGAGAGAAATGTCCTGTGCACAAGGGTGACTGCAAAAAACACACATATCCAACACGCACGCTTACCGACATTAGGATCAAGTGGACCGGTTTTCAGGAACGTGACGATGTCACTGATTTCGCTCTTTGTGCCGTTCATCTTCCAATTACCACCAACGAAGAATTTGCGTCCCATTTTTCTCGTTTGCACGTCTCGTGATAGCTGATATTTGTGTAACGTGTGATCTGCAAGGGAGCAATCTTTTTCGTCGAGCGCTAATCAAGCTTGATCCTCTAACCTACTCCGACCAGTCTCGCGACCTTCGCGCGCGCGCCAAGGTGAACAAATAACGTTCCTCTCATCCCACCACCCAGTCACCACACTATACTACACCACACTACCCTACGCGCTACACATTATTCATTAAGTATTCTCCCTTCCACTTTGATTCAATGGCTATAGACTTATAGCTAGATAGCCGTCGCTTCAGCTGCATATACATATGTATGCTGCTTTCGTAGCATATATACCGTATATGCAACACCGTTCGATACGTTCTCTGATCCAATTTGACACAACACGCTTGATGCTTCTATAGGTTCTATTCTTAAATCATAAATTTGATAGTTAATACTCGACACTCTTAATCTTCACATCTCCCCAAGTCTCTCTCCAGTCCCCATAGACTCCACACCATTCCTCAATCTTCTGTCGTGCAAGCTGTGCTTCCACGTGCTTTATATTACCAGTAAAGTGAGTAAATAGAAGAGAAAAGTGAAATGTATGAGATAGGTACCGCACGTATTCAATATCCCATCTATCGATAACGCAACGACATGTATAATTAAACATAAAAGAGTGCGAGACAGCGTGAGAAAGATTTAATTTAAATAAAAACAAAACTGATCTCTCGTCTCTCTCAACTGGTGTGCCACTGGTATGTTTACGTTTGTAAACGTGCGAGAATCAGCGTGGATTCATTTTATATCGACTTTCTCTTTTTCTCTATGCATCTATCTATCATTTGACAAAACCGATGCAAGTTTCCAGAAATTTAATCTACGTCTCTTCGCGTATTGCTGCTTTAAGATCGTATACAATTAATCTAAACTCAGATTAATCGAAACTCCTAACCTCTCGCTAGTCTGTCAATCGGTGATAATTTATAAATTGGAATTTTCTTACGATTAAGATTTTGAGATAAAATAAGGATATATATATATATATATATATATATATATATATATATATATATACACTCATGGTATTTAAAGTACATACGAGCGATAAAATGTCGAAGCGATAGCTTGTTACGAGCCACGTGTGCGTATATAGCGTTTGTTGTTACAATTTTCGTCGACAACACTGCAAAATGTATTAAAATTTTCATGACGAATACTAAAGGGTGAATACAACTTCTTGCTTGAAATCTATCTCATCAGACTCTGATTTCTGAATAGAGATGATAATTTGCGCGCAGTTCACTGCTGCGAGGTACCGCAAAGCGATATGTAGCTATTGTATTCTTGCACCCTCTTTATTTTCATTACTGCAAATATAAAAGATTCTTTTTCCAACACTTCCCAGTCGATTCTGTTGATAAAAATTCTCTCATTTCAAAAGGAATCTAAAATCGCCCTCGTTTATTTATTATCTGTCCTAGAAGATATCGAGAGATGGCGAGCGAGGAAATAATCGAGGCTAATAAAAAACCGCAGCCCGTATTTAAGAATCATATGTTTCAACAAAAATTTCGGCAGACTAGCACCACTGGGAAAAAACGCACTTGGCGGTCATTGAAACAAGTTTTAGCTCAGGAGCGTTCGTTACTATGGCCAACAACAGTAAAACACTGTATGTATCAAGTGTGACAGAATTTTTATTTCCTCTCATCGTTACGTTTATACATTAGTCGGAAATAATTAAACAAGACGTTTTCAAATAATCTGCATGTAATTAAAAAGTAAAACAGTTTCGTAATATGTATTAAATATTCAGAGAGAGAGAGAGGTAGAGAGAGAGAATATTGTAACACATTAGGCCTGTTTTTTATAGCTCAACTGGGTGCACTAGTTGACAATTTATCTTTTTCTTTTTACATTAGAACTAATGCAGCCAGTTCAGCTATAAAGAACAGGCCTATAAATTGGTAAATTTCAGACAGTTCCATCAATGCACCGCCGAGCTTCAAACCTGCAAAAAAGTACTCGGATATTTCTGGATTGCCGGTGAGAGTATAGAAATGGCTAAGATGATATTTACCAACTAGCCTTAACTTTTATACTTTTTTTTAATGCTGTAACTTGTAAATTGCATTTAAATAAGTTGCAATTCATTTATAGGCACGATACACGGATCCACAAACTAAATTGTATTATGCCACCGCCGAAGAATTCGCAACAGTTCGCAGTTTACCGATGGATATAACGGCTGGATATCTGGCTTTACGCGGAGCGTCTAGTATCGTTGGTTAAATGATCCGATGCTAGACGTGCTTAACAGCAGCGTTACATCATGATTTATATGTCCTCCGACAACGCGATACCCTGCAGTTACCTAGTGGGTTGATACAAGTTTGCAACTTATATATATTTAAAAAATATATATATATAAACGTCTATACATTTTGCCATGTTGCTGTAACCCAACACACTCTCAATTTGTTCTTGTCTTCACGTTCACGTTCACGGAGAACAGGGATATTCCAATAGGAATGGAGAGTGAGAGTAAGACGGAACGATTTAATCGAGAGAAACAGAGTAAATAAAGTATTGATATTTTTTTTATCTCAGACAACATTTATAACATTTTATCACGTGCTGCCAATAGTGCTTGCAGGATTTTTCAAAATGAACAATTCCATAGATAATTTTGCTTATTTTCATTTCTTTTTCCCTTCTTATCTTCTTGTGTTTTTTTACTTTACACAGTACATTATTAAAAAAGCTTGTCCATTATAACTTAGTATATGAACTACAGGCTAATAGGGGAGGCGGGGGAGACCTGTGGAGGACCTTTGAGAGCTGTATTACTGTTCGTCTGCACTGCATCTTTACAGGTTTTTTTTCTTCAGTCCAGTTTGCGCGCCCCGTTTGCTACTTGCAACACGGTCATTTTAACAAATTTGCAATTGAAGATACAAACAGCAAGGCCTACTGAAATATTGCCCGGTCGTGCACTATCCTTAGGTTGCCATTTGTCTTTAATGTAATTAATTACTTGATCGATGTGTATGATTATTTTTATCTTTAGTCATATAAATCGGGAAGATCTTCATCGTCGCTATCGGCGTCGTTGTCCCCTAATTCGTCCAAATCGTCAAAATTTGGCTTACTATCGCCCGAGCCGCTTAGACCACCCATCTGTCGCATCATCTGCGAAAATGCGGAGCGAAGAAGCATTTATTAATCAATGAAAAAAAAAAAAAAAAAAAAAAGAATACATAATTATGCCTTATGATTCGTTACATTGCAAATATATGTAACGTATAAGTACATTCTTACCTCTTCTAAATCTGGCGGACTACCTTCGTCGTCGGTATCATCCTCGTCCTTCCATTTGTTAAAGTCGCTCTTTAACCAATGAGCCTTTGTTTTATCTTTAATTAATCGTGGCCAATATGGTCCCTCTTCTTTTTTAGCAAGAACCAACTCAAAAGTCCTGCCCTTCAAATTTTTTATGGTTTTATTGGGCTCAATTTCTTTGTACAGATTAATCGTTATCTCATGCATTTTTTTATCTGTGCCTCCCTCTCCTTTGAAGTATATCTTTTCTGGTTCAATTTCGATGGTAGGATCTTTGCAGTCTTCTAAGCAGATAGTGACATATAAGACATCTTTTCTTTGAGCCCACATAACTGGTGGAGGAGGTATCCTAAAAGTTGCAAAGAAATGGAAAATATTAAATACAGAGTAAGAATAAATCTTGAAATTTTTACAATTACTCTAGAATTACGGTAACCAAAAAAATAAAATTCTGTAAATCTTTTTTAACAATTATATGCTATTGCAATGATAAAGGTTCTTCTTGCTCATAATTGTCCTTTAATCTAACAAAAATAAGATTTATCCGCCAATTTGAAAAAAGAAAAAAAGCAAAAATTGTACACGAATCTAGGTATAAAACTAAATAATTTAAAGAAATTTGAATTGAGAGGCTCTCCGCGATCTCTGATCGTATTTGAATTTTTTCTTTTTCCCTCTCTTTCTTCGTCAATTCTTACATTTTTCATGATTATTTTTATTTATTGTTGTAACTATATTATACTTGTGTGATTGAAACACTATCGTCACTATATTCACAGTGGTGAGTACATCATCTAGCATTATATTTAGAAAAAAAACTATATCTCCTGCATCATTTCGCTCGTATATTACGTATCCTGGAAAATCGCGCAAATAAATTGGCCGATTTCCACGTGTGTACGGTGCGTACTCTATATAGAGGACCTGTTGTACTCTTGTATAGGTTAGGGTTACAAAAACTCGGGACTAAACCGACGCCTCCGCGATCCACATTGGAGTCGTGTTACGTGTGCGTGACATAATTATCACGCGCGACGCATTAACGCAAAGAGATTCGCTCATCTCGCGTTAATCATTGCAAAATGAAACGCGCAACGAACGTTTTTGCAGCAAGAAACGAGAGTCATCGGTTCCCATCGTCCTCCGGCACGCGCGCGCGCGCGCGCCATCGTGACCAGTCACACGATGGATTCACACGAAGGAAGTAAACAGGAAAGGACAGCGGAAAAAAGACGTGGCGACGTGAGGAGGACGGAAAGTGACACAAGCGAATAACCGCGTTATGCGAATTGTCGCTTGAAAGAAAGATTACCACCGCGATTATAGGTCGTATCGCTCGTCTAGAAACTTGGAGAATCAATAAAACCATCCCACCAACATGGCGATGCTCCGAAAAGCACGGAGCGGCATTTATACGTCCGTGGCGCAATTATCCGTAGCTGTACGCGGACACGCGACTACGAAATCTGTGAAATCGGACTTGACGACGCGAACCGCCACGCCAATTTATGTCGATTCTAAGATACTTACTGGCTTTCTTGCGTCATGTTTCCGACGGCTTTGCACGCAACGAGAACGAAACAAACACACAGCGCACGTAGCGCACTCACACCTCAACCTCATGCACGGCCGCGCTGACCGCGCCGCGCCGCGGACTCGATTCGAGTCATTCGAGATTCGAGATTATTGCAATTCGAGATATCTCTTATTGCAATATTCTTATGAAACTTTCGATCGTGCCGATCGCGGTGTGGCCACTGGCCACTGTGGCGTCTGTGGCCCCGCTCGTCGCTCGGCTCGACGCCTTCGCCAGCTTCGCCTTGCCGGCCTCGCCCTCGACAGTCGACGATATGACTCTCGGTCGCGGGTCTCTTTCGGCCAATTGACCAGCTTGTGAACGTCTCAAGAGCGCGTTAAGTTTTTGTTTTCATGGCCATTATACAAAGAGTACGTTTCTCCGTATGAATTAATGAATTTATTATTTATATTTTACGAGTTTTTATTACGAATTTTATTTTCTTTATAGTATTGTTCGTGTAATTATTTCATATATCTTTCTCGTAAGAAAATAACTCGTTTAACTCATGTAATACAATGTAATTACGTTGCAAACGCGTGAGCTGCCTAACAACTGATTTTTCCATACGTAAATTTATTAACCATAGATTGAGCAGTTTGATTGATCGTTTAATTGAACTTAATTGTTCTTCAATTGCATATATTTTAACCTATAAATTTGTATATTTATTGCCTATAAGCTCTCAATATTCTGTCTGCAACAACTAGAATATATATTTTAATTATTTATTATATCGCGAGATTAATTATTTTATTTACTTTATGTATTTCAAGAGAAAATAATTAAGATGATACTGCAATTGATTCAGATACATTTGTATTCTTAATGTTTGTTTGTGATTTTCTAAAATTAATTATACATGCAGGGTGCATGGACAAAAAAACTTTTCCAATTTCACTTTTTCTGAAATTCATTGTGGTATTGGGGCAAGAGAGAAAATGAAAATTTTCGTCGCATTAATTTATTACGAATAATATATTAATTCTCTTGGCGAGGAGAAGGCTACTTGTGAAAATCGACGATACCGTCCGCGCCGTGGTGATATATAACGATAAGGAAAGAAAAAGTCGATTTCGCGATGAATCGGCACACTAACAAAAGTCACATTATATAGTGCGGATGAGTACGTATACACACACACACACACACACACACACACACACACACACACATATAAATATATATATAAATAAATTACTATATTGAGTATATGTAAATAATTTGTGTGCGCTTACACACACACACACACACACACACACACACAATGCATATATAGAGACAAAAGGCAGAGTTTAAGTCAGAGTTTACAGATTGTAGGTCATACGTTTGAGAAGGGGCATGGGGAGAGGAGACGAAATCCGGTGGGGAGCCATTCTTTTACCGCGAACTAACTGGACACGCGGACGCGGGTACAGCAGTTTCTTTCGCCCGCAGGTTCGATTCAGGTGCGATTTGCCATCCGCCGCGCCGCGCCGCGCTGCGCGCGTCCATTCTTTCGTTATCGTGCGTGCATGCATGCATGTATGCATGGGAAGAGCGAAGCGAGTGCTACGTAATAAGAGAAGCGTGTGAAAAGGCGCGTCCCTCCTGTATCGTGATCAATCGATCGATCGTACGACGTGAAACGTAGCGGTCGTAGCGACGCAACACGGTGCAGTGTCGCGCGGCTTCTCATTGTCAGCAATTGTCAGTATACGACGTATGTTGTATGTATACATGACGTACGCAGGTTTTTTCTGCGCGGGCGAAATCTTCTCGTTAAGGTAGGAATATGAGAAGCAAATACGTTAACGCAAAATAGTATACGTGAATTAAGAGAGATATTAAAGAGAAGATTATATACACATTTAAGCTATACGTCGCGAATGTAAGGAATATAGACGAATCGCGTGTTTTGAAAGAAAGATGCTCTCAAAAAGTATATGTCTTATATTTTCATAAAGTATATTTGCAACGTGATTTAAAGTTATAACGGTGACGAAAATATGATCGAACGATGATCAAATAATATTTAAGTATTGAAACAATTAGGTGATATATATAACGTACTTCTTTGACATTATTGTTACATTATACCGCTATTCTATTCTAGTATACATCTATATATATTTTTGAAAATTAATCTTTTATATGTAATCGATGATAAAAGGTAACAGTTATAACGCGGAAAATAGTCCAAGTTGAAATTCCAACGCTTTTTTTCTCCGAGCCGGTGTCGAAAAATATACAACGAAAAGATACAATTAAAGTAGGTACATGTAGACAAGAATTTATCACATATCGCTCGGATACGTACAAAGTTGAAAAGATATATATATATATAAACGTATTAAACGCGCGCGCGATACGACGTTAAACGTTATAAGTCAAACGTCAAATTTTATAAATGTTTCTATCCTGTCATTTTATCAACATCGATACTAGTATCGCGTTACCGATATCGTCCGTGCATGGTCCGCGATTCGAGGTGTGAGTGCAACGAGTATTTTCGGAGTGGAAACAAGTTCGGTGTTGATGACGGTACGGATGATGATGATGAGCAGCTAACGACGTGACCTTCGATTTGAAGCAAGCATTACGAGCATCGATTGAGAGGCTTGAGACACCATGTCGACGAGTTCGATCTTTTACAAGGACAAGTACGCGGTAAGTGCGTGTGCGATGCACACTATATATATATATCTACGTTAAATTTCTCTGTTTTGTTTCCAGTCGTTTTTAATTATCGCAGCCACACCTTAAAATAACAAACACGCGCATATACCTACATTATATCGGTACATATACTAGACGACGAGAAAACGTAACTCTTAATTACCGTTACATTAAATAAGTATACCGTCACGCGATCTACGGTACGTTTCTCAGAATTTATCTTTTGCTCGTGCAATAAAGTCAATGATATAAATAGTAATAGCCTTTCGCGAATTTGCCATTTGCAATTATTTTAAAAATAATTATCAAACCAAAAGAACGACAGCTCAAGTCACTCGCGTTATCCATACGAATAACAAGTTACTTGGCTACGCCTATGCGCCTATGCGCCCGTAGATACGCTTCTGTGAAGCTAGAAACTCCAAGTATGGCTGCGGTAAAAGCGGTACATCTATAACAACGTGCTTTCACTCTATCCTCTGCACGAATCCGGCAAAATCGCAGTTCCGCGTCTAGGTAATAATCGTGTATATATCAGTGCATCGCGGCATTGCGACGATACAAATCCAAATGTAACCGGTCAATCGGTTATTATCCACGAATAATGACTAACTCCGGATAATTATATACTTATGTATATTTTCGTGTAACCATCATGTCGATGCTCGATACATATTTCAAGCGCAATGTTTCCACGCAATGGAATTGCATCCAACGCGAATAATGCCGTCTGCTGCGATTACATTCACAGTAGTATTCGGCATATCTACTTCCAAATCTCCGAAATAAATTCGTCGAGGAATATAATTTACCAAAAAATCGAAATCGATCGTGCTTTCCGGCCGATGACATTCGCGTTGGCATACACATCTTATACATATATTATATCTTTATTTTATTTTATGTTTTCTTGTTCGTCTGCTTTTCTCTTTGGAAACGTGATGTAATCTCGGTTAATCGCATTCGCGGTAACCAACAGAAATTCACAACAGGACAGAAACAATGTATATACACCGTAGAAAAATACAAAAGGCAATGTGTTACAAGGTCGAAAATCTCATATCTCATTAATGCATCTGCCGAAGTAATAATAATGTTTACGAGGCTCAAATACGTGCATTTCTCTCCTATATATATATATTTTTTTATCAAAATGAGTGAAAGTATCATCGGATAATCGGAACAAGTTTGCCTTCGCCCGCCTCATTTTCAAGGAAACGTAAAAATTTTAAGTTTTTTTTCCATTTGCAATGGCTATCGCATAAGTTAATAATTATTAAATTATTGCTTGTTTATGTCGCAACGTGTTTGTTCGTCTGAAAGAAGGTAACATATTCGTATCGATTGATTGCGATATTTTTGGATTATATCGATAAAGTTATCTGTAGTCAATGTAGAAACCGCGTTGAAACATCTTGCACTGTAGCAAGCACAGTCATCTATATATAGATGTATTATAGTTTATTATACATATAGACGTCTGTGGTTGCAAGTTGCAAAAATATTATAATAATATAAAATATATCATAATAATAATATAAAAATATATCATAATATTTGTGTGTAGATTATTTTCTAAACGTATCTTAAATATAATAATTTATATGTACAATAAATTATACGTATAATGTATTAATTTTTATAAATGTTAAGAAAAACTGTCTAAAAAAAAAACAATTGAACCGCCCTAACAAGGAATTGAGTCAAAATCTAATGTAAATCAGCGTTAATAATCAGCGACAATATATTATTAATAGTTTAATGATACAATATAATATTATTGTATATGATCAAATATAATAGAATCATCATTAAAATGAATAGCAAAAATTTTTATGAAACGTTTAATGTGATTGTGAATAGCGAATGTATTATAATAGAAAGGAGTCGATTCAATTCTGCTACAATTAATTCTTATACCGAAGTGGCCATTTGTGAAACGTGAATCGATCAGCGTGTAGCGATTATCATTATGGGAACCATTATGGGATTACTTTCGAGAACGCATGACATTCTTCGATTGCAGGTGCATCTGCAGGCGCATACGGTGCACTGTTGCGAAATTGAGAGGGTCTTTTTTTCTCTCTTTCTCTCTGAGGAGAGCACGTTCCCCAACTTTCCGTGGGAGCGGAATCCGTTCCGCTGCGTGGGTCACGCGCTTGTCCGGCATAATAAGATGTATGTCTCTGACATAAGACTTTCACCCCTGAGGGGCTTTCTGCTACTTGGATCTCGGTCCAATGAATTTTGATTTACCGCATTGATATTATATACTCTCATTGTCGTTCTTATAATTTTCTTATAATTACGGAAACCCGACGCAGCGAAATTATACTTGAGACTCTCGTTATGTTGGTCCTCCGAAAAATTCGAATCTTTATTATCTCCACCTACCTCTATAGTGAAATGGTGAATTTTATTATTTATCTGGTTGATATGGATTATATATGTTATATTATAGATATTAGTATATATGTACATAAATATATACTAATTTTTTTTTAGTGACAAAATGTGTATTTTATCTTTTTTCGCGCGATTTTTACGTTTTCTTAATTTCAAGTAAAAAAAAAACATTGCTGATGTATATGTGAAGGGGGGAGGAAGTTGTTTGTGAGGTATCCGTATTTTTCAGCCTTTCTCTCTCGTTTTTCTCTCGTCTCTTCCCATCCCCGACGTTCGTTTGAAGGCTTACTCGATATAATTATATAATCGAATAAAATTGCCACGAAGCAAAAGGCTTTGCCGCTGAACTTTACGCGCTGTACAGCCGTTACGTCTCACGTCCGATCTTGCAACCGGCACCACGAATGCAATTCTGCACTTAGGCGCGAAAGATTATATTGATGAGATATACTGGGTGTCTAGCGCGTGTCAAATCGTGGGTAAACACGTTGCGCGCTATAACAAGCGGCAACGTTGTAAATTTTTATCGCTTACTCGGACTATTAGCGGATCTTTTGAGGAAGATTACTTTGCCGATGTAATTAAGACTTATTTTTACATATACATACGCATGATTTGAATTACAGCAGGTAACAATCTTAATTATTAAGATGCAAGTTAAAATTGATTGATAATTAATTTTACGACCTTGTCATTTTAAAAATGATTTAAATAGGAATCAATAATTTGCTAAGAGAGAAACTTGAGAGAAAAAACTCAATTTAATGAAAAGTGAACCGCGGTTTGACGTTTTTTTACAAGATGTACAAATAGATATATAGTTGAATTTCTCTCAACTCGCTCGTTACGCATCCTTTCGCATGTTACACGGCGGCAACTGCTATTAATAATTATTAATAGTATACTGACTGAACATTGATTATGTAATATTTATGGCAAGTAAAATTTTTGATAGACGGCTCTATCATATTTATCAGGATCCTCGATCTAACCTCGATGAGCGTAAAAACTGCAGTTAGAAATTCTCGAGACTCGGTGACCTAAGTGTCATACGCCGGTGATACAGTTAACCGTCAGCATTAATTATCACGTACATACAAACAGTGCACAAACCCGCGCATTACAACATTGCAATGGCAAATGGTGAACACTCAACTGACTTTGCACTGCGATGACAATAACACGGTAAATTTATCTTGTGTCAAACTTTTATCTCGACATATCGTCAAAAAAAGAGAAACTTTGAGAAGCTATGAACATTGATTATGTTTCCTTGGGATTAACTTTTCGTTTTTTTTTTCCTACAATTTTGAACAGTTTCTTAAGCGATGCTTCCAAAATGCAAAATTCCGAATGTATTTATCATTGTGAAGTGTGATTTTAATCACAATATCATCCAATTAAAATCAAAACTTGATTGCAATTATAAAATTGTCACATTGATGCTGAAAAGAAGTTGAACATATAACGCAGATTGAATATAGGTAGTTGAGAAAATTATGAAATTTGAAAAAATAACACCAAAATAATAGATACAAGTAAAATTTTTGTAGAAAAAACAGTTTAAACAGTCCTATTCTCGTTCAAGTACAGTTTCTTCTTTGCTATTAAATGTCTCTGTTTTGAGTTATGTCTTATTGTTAGTACAAAATGTGCTTATATGTATAGTGTTCAATAAATAATCAAATACAATTTAAAAGTTTCGATGTATCGAAGCATTATTACTCGATTACGAAACGATGTCAATTTGTTGTAACATTATTTTTCCATCGTGATTCAACGTTTTTCTTTATCGATTTACGTTTTGTATCGCTTATCGTATGTATGTCATCTGATGATAGCGAAATATCTATCTCTTTAAATTCCGTGATGAAACGCGAAATGTATGTGCTATATTTAGAAACAATTGTAGTTTACAATCGTTTTTATAATTGTATATATTAATATACATACAGTATATTAGTACAGTATATTATATACATTTATCGTTACACCATTATGTGAAGTTTATTTACGAGACTTTTCTTTTATCTGTCTAATAATCGAACGTCACAATTACATATTTATCTACTCTTATACACATATAATATAAGCCTATAGTCGCGTATTATTAGATTGGTCAAAGAATCTTTTTGTATTTACGAATTTAAATACGAAAAGACTTTCTGTCCAACCCTAATATACAAGGTGTCCCATTTGAACCTTTCGACACAATTATCTCTCAAACTATTTGTTATTCCAAAAAAAATGTTTCAAGCTAGGGGATATTACTTTGTTTCGATCATCAAAAGAATGTTTTATACATCTTTTGATGATCACAGATTTTCTTTAGGTGGAAGAAAAAAGATAGAAAAAAGATAGAAAGTCACTTCATCTTCACTTTTTTAAATGGAATTATGTAATTTTTTTACATAAAATGATTTCTCTAATTATTCTGCATATAAAAGTATTGAGGTAAAGCTATCGAAAAATCCATACTTCACGAGATATTTCATACTTTATCATACTATATTTCGACATAAAATGTGAAATATCTCGTAAAAAATCGTATCGATTTCTTGATAATTGTATCAATAATTTTATGC